TATGATTTTTCCGGCGATTTACTTTTTACGCACCACCAGCAGAATTGAAGCTGTGCGATTTTTGTGAATATAAGCACGTGAGACGGAAAAAGAAGGAAGGAAAGCAACAATTATTGTTTCCCCTCGGGGGAAAAAATCGCGCTGTCCCAAGCTCGCAGCGTCGACGAGAGCAATTTTTATCTCGGCGCTCCTTGAATAATTATTCAAAAACGTTGAGCAGGCAGTTCTCTTTGCCTCTTGGTGCGAACCGCAGCTGTGCAATTATTTTCAAAAAAACCTTTCCGCCGGCCGCTGTTCCATTCATTTTGGTCGCGGGTGCGCGTGAGAAACATCATCAGCAGAAATTTGCATACAAAAAAGCCCCTCGCAATTTGTGGAAAATATCACCGGCTCAGTGATACCTGATGCCCCCAGCAGAAGATTTATTTTCTACCTCTCAATTTTCTGCTTTTGCTAAAGTTTTTCTGCTCATTTTAAGTGCTTTACAGCACAAAACATCGGCATCAATTATTTCATTTTGGACCTCCTTTTAATATAAACTTTATGTTAAATTTCGTCATTTTGGCGCATTTTGAAATTATTTAGAAATTGTGGAATGAAGCTTCTGTCATGATGAAAGAGAAACTAATTATTTTCACTGGTTTTTACGTCACGTTGCAGCTGGACTAGTTATTATTATAATTGTTATTTATTCTTCTCGGTCAATACCTTTTTTTCTTTAATTGGAGTGATTTAAAAATAAAATAGAGATGAGGCTTTCTCAAATTTGAATTATAAACATGCATGGGATATTATGTTCATTTTCAAAATTGGTATTTGAACTGCTTTTAACAGAATTCCATCATGTGTGACGTTGACAACAATGAAGTACAAAGTTAACAAAAATACACCATATTGTACAAAAAATTTATTTGATGGAATTATATTAAAAATGTATTTAGTTGTTTTTACTTTTTTTCAAGTTTGTCTTTGTCAGCGCGTGTCGCGAGATTTTCCTGGATCAGCAGTTGAAATTATGAAAAACCTTTTGTGCTCATCTTGCATGTTGTCGTGCCCCCTTGATCTGCGCCGAGTGTGTAAGACGCTACCCTTTCATGAGCTGCGAAACTCGCGCCTCGTTAGTCACAGGTAACAAACACCGGCGTCAAATGAAAGCGAAACTCGCAGGGGCTCGGCGGCGAGAGACGCAATATACACGCGACATCCAAACACACGCATATGGAGAGGCATTAGGGTTACATAAAGAGGGCCTCTTCAAAGTCGACGACTGGAGGCGGCGTGCTCATTACCATAGGCCGGCAGCAGAGGCGAATCGGGCGCGATTAGTTTGTTTGCAGGCGCAGACAAAGGCTATTGATTGAGCCGAGGGCTTTCGGCGTGCCTCGGCCAACCGGCCAAAGGGTTACGTTTGTGAAGAGAACGTACGGCTCTGCATTGTCTCCTTGGCGATAAATCACCCGTCGCCGACGTCGCCCGCGCTGACGTGTCGGACCCCCGTTGTCCTGGGCCTCCCCTTTCTTCTGACCAAGAGGCGAATTCCGCCCCAGCAAAGCTGTGCGCCGGACAGCGAATTACATTATGCCGAGATTAATTAATTAAAGCTTGGAAATTAGTCAGACGTTGGATTTATTTTGATAATGGTCGCGGTTTTCACTAGAAATTCAATGTCAGGTTTAAAATTTAAATTTCAGTATACTTTTTTTAAACATCTTTTAAATTAAATTTATATACAGTTTTTATGGCCATGAAAGTAAAGAACCTTAAATAATTTTTATTTACGATAGTAATATTTCTAATTATTAAAATTGCATTTTCTTTTTGAATGAGGCTCTTCCTCTTAATTAAAAAAAAACTTGCTTAAATATATTTTAGTCCATAGACTTTATCGTTTGCTGCAGGGCGGACTTAAAAATTTATCACGCTCGACAAGAAGGGTTTACTGAATAACTTCAAGCCGTTTCTTGATTGTGGTTTTGGACCTCAATGAAGAAAGGAATCCTCCCCAACGCAGTCAATTCATCTGGTCACTGCTTAATTAAATTCCATCTCTTCGAGTTCCATTCACCATCGCCACCAAATTCAATTCTTCTCACCCCTTTGTGTCTAAAATTTCTAACTAACAGCATAAGATTTCAACTCATCCACTTTAATTCCTGTAAAATTAATTTGCAGAGACCTTCTCCGAATCTTTGCCCTGATCAGCATAATCAATTTTTTTTGTCCTCATTAGGGCGAGCGCTGGCTTTTCTTGACGTTGATAAATCCACCCAAAATTAACCCGACTTCATTTGCGAAAAAGCGCAAAAAATGTCGAGATAATCCAGCAGCCTCGGCGGACGGTTTTAATATATTTTTTTTCAGTGCTGTAAAGCAGCTCGTTGCGGGAGGCACTACTATATTAACTTTCATTGCTTCCCGTGCCAAATTTGGCGCGCGTACTGGAGAAAAATTGCCACCCTGAATGGATCGGCTCATTTGCAACATAGTCCTAATGTTGCCGTATATTTTCCAGCCCAAAGAGGAAATTTTATCATTCCGCCGGCGAAGCTCGGAGAAAGTGAACAGCCCTTACTTGTTTATCGCACTTTATACTTCGCGCTCGTTATTTTTAACGGTCTTTTTTCCAGCTGATGAACAAACATGCACATCCATCCATTTGTTTGCTAAGCGGGGAGATAAAACTGTGGCATTAAAAAGGCCCTTGAAAATTCCTTGCTCTGCCCAACCACAAGGGAAATTTAAAAGAAAAAATCCGATTACATATACAATTTCTAGAAAAGTGCGAAAATCGCTCTTGTGAGAGTGAATTTAAAATGCAAAGCACGCCTTCTTTCTAATTTTTCTAATCGGGTTTGCTTGAACTGAACGATTCACTTCAGGTTAAGCTTTGGAGCACGTTTCTCATTGGCAGCGCATGTTCATGCAAAACAGGTCTCTCTGTGCGATGGTGATTAAAACTGCACCCGACGCGCATATTGATAGTTTTATCTGGCTGGAAGCATCCGGCAATCTGCTTTCCCTGTGCACTCCGCGTCGTTTGTCAGCGGAAAATTCTGCTGCTGCTGGGAGCGCTTTTTCCGCTTTTCTTTTTCCTGTCGTTTCCCGGCAGCTACGTGTGTGTTCTCTTCGCGCCAGTTAATTGCATACACACGTCTTTTTATCCAGAGATGAGATGAACAAAATGTGTTTGCCAGCACTCTTGTTCTCACTCAGAGCAAGAGCACTCAAGTTTTAAAAACAGATTTTTCTCTTTCTATGGTGACCTTCGTTAGTTTGTCTGTAAGCTAGAGCTTATTTTTTTGCACCGTCTTATAAATTTACTTATTCATACTACTTTTTTTTACTTATTTATTTGTTCACGATTTTCGCATTTTCGCAGGGAGTGTATTTAAGTCTTGAATCTTGAAGTTTGAAATTCATATTTATTTGCTTGGAAGCATTTATTTGAAATATATTATCATTGTTTATTCTACTTAATTAAGTCAATGTAAGTTTACATACAACATATAAAATAAATTTGATTATGTGCATCAATCTTTTTATTGGCTGGTGACCTTTGGTTTCAAAATTTAAAAAAGTATTAAAAAATAAAAAATAAATTTATAATTAATTTTCAAATTTTTATACATTTTGCTTAATTTTTACGTTTACTTTCATTTCATTAATTTACTAATGCATAATTATCTAGTTTTTTATAGAAAGATTTTTTATTTAATTTCTAAACCATAAATCATGCTGAAAGAGTGAAACAAACATAATGCTAATTAATAACAAAATTAATTATAATTATTATTTTTTAAATTTAATGAATTTAAAAATGCATTAATACATAATATATAATATATCATAAAATTAATTCATTACATTATTGCGTATTATATTTTTCAAAATTCTCATAAAATTTGGGAAAAAAGTATCCTTGTCCATTTTTTATATAATGTTGTCAAGTAAAATAGTTTGAGATTATTTATGCCCAGATTAAAAGAATCTAAAAAAAGTCATGGAAAGAGCTTTAAAAGATACCGCAAAATTAATTCCCAGAACAAGAAATGAGATTACGGCTCAGCACTGTAATCTGCCCATAATTGTTTCAGGCCGGCAGCAGCTCCTCACGTTAACTACATGGTCGTCCGTCGTCTCGTTCTCAACTTCCTCTGAGAATGTAAAATATCATAATGCACAAAGTTGGAGAGCAGCGAACTTTGGACGAGAGAGCGGGAAGATATTTTCTATCCTCTTATAATGAAAGAAGCAAAACTGCAAGGCAGAAATGAAGACGCAAAAAGGGCTATATAGATTTTCTATTAAAATACAATGCGATAGTGCAAAAGAAATACATAGATGACCTTTTGACGGAAGATTCAAAGCATTGTTAATTAATGAAAATTAAGCGTTTCTGAATAGAAAATATCAAAACTCTATAGATTATATTAAGAAAAATAAAGAGAAGTGAAGTTAAAACGACTGTAAAGAAGCTGGACAAAAATTATGAATTTGTATAATAATTTTCACAACAATACTAAATTAATTGTTTCAGTTTAATTTATTATTCTCCAAGCGAGTGAAGGAAGAAAATTTGATAGGGAGAAAAATAGGCACACAGTGCTTATGAACAGCTCACTGAGCAGATTTTATATTATCTAATTTTTAATTTTTCCCAGTATCAATAAAAATTTTGTAATTAAGTCAAATAGAAGATGGGCTAAAAAGATCATTAGCAGCATTTTTAGGTTTATAAGATTTTTTCAAACTTTCTTCGAGCAGATTTATGAAAACCCTCTTTGCTATTTTATGCAGGACTAAAACTGCGAACAAAGTTGATTGAAGGCATGTCTGCGGCTGACAAACTGCGGATTGATTGACGGGCGCGTATTTTAAAATGAGCGACGTTGAGAATTCGTGGAAAGATCAAACAATTGGGCGAGCGATAATGAGTTGACAAAACAACGTGCGTCGCCCTGCGGCAGGCGGCTGTCGACGGCAAGTCAGTCCTTCGCAGGCGCGCACTGCTCCGTGTTGGCGGCCAACGGGGGTTGCATACAAGCGCCGTCGTTCAGTCTCGTCTCACCCTCTGGTGCACTAACTTCGCCGCTCTTCCGCGATCCGGCGAACCCCCAACATTTACGCAGCAGACAAACTTCTTTCTCGCGAGACTGACCATTTTGGAAAAAACGATCCGCAACCCTAGGTAGGAAATATCTTTTTTTTGTCAAGTTCTCATTGGATATTTTAATTACTGGCACGGTAAAAAAGTAAAAAAATATTTTCATTTCTAATTAAAACGTTTTTAAGACTCTCATATCACATCCTTTTTCTTTAACTTTTATTTCAACTGATTGAAAAATATATTTTTATCAAAGAGAAATTTACCTGAAATTTGTTTCAATTTGAAAATTATAAAAAGAGCTCACGATGAAAATGGTTTAATTTTTACTTTCAATCCATGCTGTTTTCCAAATTTAAAAAAATCTTAACAAAGAAAGCAGTATTGAATGTTAAGTTACAATTTGGAATGAAAATGCAAGCAATCACAGTTGAAAATTTGATTTTAATGTCTCACAGTTTTTTTTTTTTACTGATTGTTAGTATGTTGTATCAGTTGAATAACTTTTCTGTTGATCAATAGCCAAGAAACTTTAAGGAGCTAAAATATTAGATGTATTTTTTATTTAACTAGAGTTGACTTTCATAAGCCCAGTAGGTCATAAATCAAATCGATCAATCAGCTGGTAGGACGGAGTAAAAAAAATTGCGTGGGTGGGACTTGAGCATCAGACTTATAAACTGGCTGATATCAACACTTCAATGAACCTTGAACCTGAATAACCGATGGATGCCATAAAATCTTTTCACAAACTTACTCCTTATATTCTGATAATTATACTATTATGAAAAATTGCAGAAATGTTAAAACTATAATTTAAATTTTTGTAACAATACTAATTGAATATATAACAATTGGTGTAATGATCTGTACCATAATATTATCATTTCAATTGTATCAGTTATGGGTTGGTCATTTTTTGCGGCACATGTGGAAGTGTTACTGCACAATTATAATTAGAGCTTTAATTATTCAAATTCATGCAGGTGTGTCGCCATCTCCCAATAAACTATTTACGAACCCGTTCTCATTACTGGCGGCTCATGGAGATATTGCGGTCTTGGGTCATTGTATGGTGCACATTACGTCCCTCTCCATGCAATATTGATTGAGCCGCCGAGACTCTCTTCGTGGTGCATGCAATTAAACTTTTCTAATACCAAACCGACATGCAAATGTTAAGGGTGCGTTGTGAGGAATAATCTCGGCGCTTGGATTGAATCAAAAGTCGACTTTGCATTGCAAATGAGCACGGATTTTGCTAGACCATATTTTCCGAGAGTGAGTTTTATTTCAGGGTTAATGAGCGCGAGCGCGACGAATGCCGCCGCGTGGAGTGTTTTTATTATTATTACGTGGAGCCGGTCGGTATTGAATTATTATGTGTATAATGCTGCGCGACTCAAGTGGACGAGACGACACTTCTAAAAGTGCGGCGTTCGCTAAAAAGTCTTTTGTACTGCAATAAAGTGTGTCAACCAGGCACACCGAACTCTTGCGTGCCAGCCGCAAACACAACGACACAACGTAATCGCTTTTCAATTTGATTGTTGGATTAATTGATTTGGAGTCTTGATAATGTCGGTTGTTTTTCAAATAGAAATTTAACTTACTATTGAAGTTGCGTGTTTCATAAGATTGTAATTTAATTTTCAATATACTTTTCATGATAATATATTTTTCTTCACAAAAATTCTGCAATTGTTTTCTTTAAAAAAAAAAACTTTCAACTTCCGGCAGTTACAATTAAATCATATAAAAAATAATTTCTAACAAAAGCAGAAAATTAAAAGTTATTTTAAATTTGTTACCTGCATTTTTTTATATTTTATTGTAAGATGAATAAAACTGGCTGGGTGCAAGTACAAAGTTCATAACGAGGGTTGAAAGCAATGTGCTGTTAACAATTAGAACCATTAGTCGGCGGAAATATTGTCCCAGTGGCGGGAGAACATGCCCAATATCATGAGTGCGCTCGCTCCGTAAATTAACTCTGAGATTTTGTTGGCACCGAAGTTGGGAGTGCAGGCACAACTTGGGCTGCTGCGATTATGAGATGTCTAGACGCTCATGATTAGCCCGAGCGTTTGTTTCAGCGCTTGCAGACCCGTGTGTCGTGCGAAGACAAATTGCCTTTCCAAGTTTTGATTGAAATCCGCGCGTATGCAAACAAGCAATGAGTGCATTCAATAAAATGCAAATAGAGCAGCGAGTGTTTGCACGCCATTGCTCATGACAATGATCGGCCGCTCTCGCGATTTCATTTCGCTCTGGCCGCGTGCAGACAATTAGGTTGTTTGCAGGCACAGACAGAAACACGCTGGGCCCTCACACATTTAATTAGCACCGGGAACGAATGCTTTCTGATGGCTTTTCGAGGGCCCTCGGCAGTGCCGTTTTGTTTGGACAGCGGCTTCATGACGGCCAATAAAGGGTTGATTTATATACGCCCACTCGTTATCGGCCTCGTTACTGTCCTTTTTCAGCTGGGGAAAAAGTGGAACGCGTTTCCGTTACGAGAAACCAATTATCGACTGCGGTTTGGAAAATGCCACTTTGAAATTGTGGTTATTAGGGCCATTCAAAGGTTCCACCAGATGCAAAAAAGTTAGGAGTAATCAATTTTTTAAATTGAAAAGCCTGTTAAAAACGGGCTTGATTTTATTGGTGCACACGTGCAGAACTGTTCAACTGGGTAGACTCATAAACTTACAATTTAATTCTATTTCAAACAATGTCTCTAATTCTAATATTTAATATTAATTCAAGAAGTTTGCTAAGGCGGGACTTCCAACTCTATATCAAGGCTGAAACAGCCCTGCAAGAAATGAAACCAGGGATCTAATTCTGTAAGCTTTTTCGTTTCTATTTCCTATTTCCATTTCTATATTCATTTTCCATTTGCTTACCCATTCTATTTCGTCGCCTTTTTCGATTACGACTTCTATTTCGCAGCCTATCCATTTCCATTTCTAATTCGTCGTCAATTTTAATAGTTGAGCCATATTTATATATATATATATATATATATATATATATATATATATATATATATATATATATATATATATATATATATATATATATATATATATATATATATATATATATATATATATATATATATATATATATATATATATATATATATATATATATATATATAAATAAATATATATATTTATTTATATTTAATTTAATTATTGCATATGCGCTTAAAGTAATTTTCAAATGATTTTTAATATACCCAAGTCAATAAAATGTATAAAAAATTATTTGAATAAGGCGTTTAGTCAAAAGTACCTCAGTGTGGGCGGAAATTGTGGTACCACAGTGTGGGCGGAAATTGTGGTACCACAGTGTGGGCGCAAATTGTGGTACCACAGTGTGGGCGGAAATTGTGGTACCACAGTGTGGGCGGAAATTGTGGTACCACAGTGTGGGCGGAAATTGTGGTACCACAGTGTGGGCGGAAATTGTGGTACCACAGTGTGGGCGGAAATTGTGGTACCACAGTGTGGGCGGAAATTGTGGTACCACAGTGTGGGCGGAAATTGTGGTACCACAGTGTGGGCGGAAATTGTGGTACCACAGTGTGGGAGCAAATTGTGGTACCACAGTGTGGGCGGAAATTGTGGTACCACAGTGTGGGCAGAAATTGTGGTACCACAGTGTGGGCGGAAATTGTGGTACCACAGTGTGGGCGGAAATTGTGGTACCACAGTGTGGGCGGAAATTGTGGTACCACAGTGTGGGCGGAAATTGTGGTACCACAGTGTGGGAGCAAATTGTGGTACCACAGTGTGGGCGCAAATTGTGGTACCACAGTGTGGGCGCAAATTGTGGTACCACAGTGTGGGAGCAAATTGTGGTACCAAACAGCGCACACGATGAATTAAATAATATAAAATACATGGTTGCTAATTTGCTAAAAAAAAATATTATAATTGTATTTGAATTCAACCAATTTTTAAGAAATTGATTTAATTAACTTTGTGAAAGGAAAAATTATCTTGATCCCCCCTAATTATGAGCCAAAAAAAGATTCGATAAAAATGGGGTGCAAGAGACATATAAGAATTATAAACATACATTTTCATTAAAAATTAAATAATTCATATAATTTTATCAACCTGAATATTAAAAACCATTCGAAGAGCACTGTAAGCATAGGGAATAATTAAATTAAATATAAACAAATAAATGGCTCAACTATTAAAATTGACGACGAAATAGAAATGGATAGGCTGCAAAATAGAAGTCGTAATCGGAAAAGGCGACGAAATAGAATGGGTAAGCAAATGGAAAATGAAATAGAAATGGAAATGGAACGATTCTATCTTACAGAATTAGACCCCAGTTGACCGCGAGTTTTTAACAAGTTTTTTTTTCTTTGTAAAAATTGAAGCCATCCAATTTTTATATGATAAATTTACATATGAAAAAGATTTTTGACAGTTTCAAATCATTATTCTTTAAATTACACCTGTAACGAAAACACGTTTTTATCACGAGAAAAACTGGTATTTTTGATACGAGTTATGTAAAATCTGTTCTCGTTAAAGAAATACCAGTTTTAAACAAGTTATAAACTGGTAAATTTTTAACAACACTTAAAAATATTTTTACAAATCAGAAAAAAAATTTATTGTTAAAAAAAATTATTGACGTTAAAAAATAAAAAATGAAAAATTGTGAAATACTTTTTCAGTAAAATTTTTATTAAATAACATCTCAATTTAAAAAAAAAAATATTTATGTGATAAAAATCTACTTAAAATTAATATTGAGGCAAGAATGTTTTAAAATTAATCTAAAAAAATTAATTTATAATTTCCTTATTCAACGGAGCAGAGCTTTGTAGGTGAGGTCGAGATGTGGCAAACAGGTGGCAAGCTCATTTTAATTAAAAACTAGTTCAACATTATTTGCAAGTCAGCTCTCAGATTAAGAAATATTTTTTTACATATATATATTATAAAAAATTTTCTTATAATATAATTGCAATATTATTTAAGCTTCTGAAAAAAATAATATGGTGTGTGATTTATTTTTCAAACAATTTGACGATAATTTTAGGGAAT